CAGAGTCAACCAAGTAATATTTATCTGCATCCAAAGTACAATAACATGATTTCAAAGTCTAATTTTTCCATTACATACATTGAATTTAATGAGATTTTAATTACCTTATGGAGGTAATAGAAATTGATTTTCAGCATCACTTAGACATTGCATTAACACATATGAGTCATAGGTACTACCTTCCCAACCTGCCATTACAAAAGTGAACATCATGTCGAAAGAACATGCCACCAACACATTTTGCGTCGTGACTGATTTCCTACCACGATAAGGAATCTGCTCAGAAGACGGAACGACAGCACTCACATGGGTTCTATCTATGGCTCCAATGTAACCCTATTATAAATAATTATTGGTTAGCACATAATGAATAAGATACATATTAATTATTCACAAAAATTGAACTTTGGATTATAAGAAAAATGCACCTTAAAAAAGGGTAGTATTTGGAACTGTGCAAAATATGTGGAGGAATGACATTAAAGGGTTGTGGTTTTATAATCTGGGTCCCCAAAATCAGAATTGCTTGTAAAACACAATGCAAGTATTTGGACACTGTCTGTCCAGAGTGTTGGAATCTCTCGCAAATTATCATATTCCTTTCGTTATGACCTATAGTCATTAAAAACATTGCAACTTGCTCTTGTACCCCCACATACCTTTCTTCTTTTAACCCTAGCTTCTTAATCTCATTACAGAAATTCATGAAGACGTGTTTTTCCATTCGGAACATATCAAAACATCTTGATGGGTGACCATTTAATATTTCCAACACAAAATCATTACCAGTTAACCGTGAATTCCTACACGGTCGTTTAAATATAAATCTTCTCGCATACTCATTCAAAATGAAAAGGAGAAGCAGTTGTTCCTCATCATCATCATCATCGTATAAGAGAGCAATCATTCTAGGATCCATATCAAGTACCTGGTCTAGCTAAAATTAGTCACACAATTAAGAACGTATAAAGTAATGCCAAATGAAATAAAAATTAATATGAGAACAAAATAATAACATATAAGATGTTTACAAAGCAAAAACATCCACACATAACATAAAAAACATCCTTACATAACATAAGAACATCCATACATGTTCACCTATATAGAGTTAAAATATTACAAAACATTGTAGGTGAACATTACACATAGTTCAATGTTAAGGAACACGCCCCTCCACATAAGAACATCCATACATTACATCTACATAGAGTTAAAATATTACCTACATAAAGTTATAAATAAAATATTGTTCAACACACATAGTTCAAAGAGTGCTTATCCAACCCTTCTTCCTGTCATCACTCATATGAAGGAACACGCCCCTCCACAACGGTTCCTTAATCATAACTGTAATTGCCTTGGAGTACTGCACATGATCAATCCCATCAAAGGAGTCCATGGCTTGCATGCATTTATGCATCATTTCATCATCAATTTTAGGCATGGCCTGTTGACCAGACTCATTATCACCACTCAACCCTACATAAGCATGCCCAACATAAACGGGAGATGGAGTAAGTTTTGTCTTCTTATATGCTTTCTCATATGCCACAGCTTTCCTTGTGTTTGTTTCAGACAAGGTCATCAAAGCATTAGACATGCTAGCTGTGAAACCCATATTTTGGGGCTTACGAGTTATTCTTGGAGATCGGCTTCGTGGCCGACCTCCTTCATCCTCCTCCTCTTCCTCATCATCATCCAAATTGTAACTTAGATTAAGAATATCTTTGTCTTTCTCAGTCCCACCACGTAAAGGAACTCTCGTAGATGGACGTGTATAGGAGCCAGTTGTCACTGTCTCATCAAAGATGTAACATTGCTTGTCATAGTGTTTGCATGATTTTTTCTTGAATTATTTGCAGTTCTTAATAACCTACAAGTTTTCAGATATTAGCACTTGTGAAAAACAAAAAGAAAAAAACTAACCAATTTGCTAGTATATGTTACTAACCTTTGACAACCTTTCCGATCTTTCGTCACTTAAAATTATCATTCCTGTGGTTCGACTAAACCCGACACCTGTCTCTTACATGAGCCTTTTGACAATCTTAAAGTCAACCCTCATAAGGTTGAATTTGTTCTTAAGTTGAACCTTCTCCCAATCATATTTAGTATTTTTAATCATCTCTGCATGTATGTTATTCCACCCTTTCGTTGAGAAGGTTGTTGAACTCTGATTTCCATTTTTTACCTAGCTTCATCCTCCATTAAAAGAATGAATGTTTCCTCATTGTGTTCATTCCATAATATATTTCCATTCTTGCCTAACTGAGTAGCGTCTTCCTCAAAGTCAAATGTTTCAGTGTTGGGTTGTGAGAAATTTTCATAATTTTGATCCATCGAAGCGGCATTGAAGTAATTAGTTAGCATTGGAAAAAATCATAAAAGGAACAATCCCCAATTTTCAAGTTTACAATTACCATTCAGGACTAGCAAAATACTAGAGATAAAAGGAAAAAAGTTAAGTCAAAGACAACAAACCTCCATTGTTTACCTAAATAAAATAATAAAATAATAATATTTGAATCTCCCCATATCAGAATGTAATGGACATGTTCCTTTCACCAATATATATTTGTGTGTGTGTGTGTGTGAGAGAGAGAGAGAGAGAGAGAGAGAGAGAAAACAAATCAGTTCAACATCAAACCTCATCACCAATCACAAAACAAATATTAACAAATCATCCAACATCAAAACTAACTACAGATGTAGCAAAAAAATATTGTTGATTTAGAAGGAAAAAAAAAAAAAAAAAAAGGATCTAAGAGAAAAAAGAAATGAAGAACAAGAACAAAAACTCACGTGTAAATCTAGAGGAGTTGGAGGTGGCAGTTGAAGAGAAGATCGGTTGGTAGGTGACTAGAGGACGCCGGCAGGAACTTCTGTGGTAGGGTTTCTCATGTTTGAAGGTGGGTTGTACGATTTGGGACAAAAGCTTTATTTATAAGTTGCTACAGTATTTAGCGCTACAGTAAAAGAGGTTGCCGCATCCGCTATAGTAAAAAGCTAAACACAAATGGCATAAACGACTTTTTGGTGTTTATAAATTTACCCTAGCGCTACAGGGTTTGTTTATGGGTGTTTGTATAAATTATAAACAAAACAGAAATTAACAAACATGCTTTTACCCTGAATATGTTTAAATAAACAATAAACCCTAAACATAAATAGCTACCAAACGGGCCCCAAGTGTCTGGTTTTTATCCTGTTGCCTTTTTAATGGTTCAGAGTTATTTGATCATAGTATTTGTATGATGATCCATCAGAACCATGCTTTAAATTTTGACTACTTCTAATCTTTTTTCCTTTTTTAGTTGCAATAAGCTTTAGCCTCATTCTCTTGGCTGAAACCAGAAATAGTTAGCAGCTACAAATGGTGAAAACCATATTTGAATATGTTTTTCATGGTGGCATGGTGGGACCAAATAAAAATCAAATTCAATGATCAAAAACCAGTTACCATTCAATTCAACATTAAGCAGAAAAAAATTGGTTTAACTTGTGAGTCTAGGTTTAGCTCCAGTTACCATTTTAGTAGAGCTAGATTGTATGATGGAGGTAGCTAGAGCTAGTACTTATATATTCATGTCAGATTTCTGATATTGGATGTTGGAGTAGGGCCCATCACCCATGTAATCCCACTCTAATCAATAAGTGCTCCACTTCAATAATTTCAATGGATACATTATATTCTAGGACAAATCAAGTAATTCAACAAAGAGTTATATGAATGCAATTGATGATATAGATACGTGTCTTGACTGATCTTACTTGACATCACCCTAAGAAAAGGTTTTGCCTATGATAGACAATTAATAGAGAGAAAAAATCTTTTCGGGTCAATCCTTCTCCTCAATCTGGGCTCGAAGCTTTCAAACTTTGAGGAAAACCTTCATGCATCAAAATCCAAGTCACGACGAGGTAAAATCCAATCAAAACTACATGTAAGTTAATTCTAAACCTTAGAACTTAGAAGTAAAATATACTAGTATCAGGTCAATATACTAGTAATATACTGATCGATGCCATATTGATGCATGGGTCCTTTTCATAACCTTTGTTTTTTAGCCATATCAGTGCAGTCTCTATAAACTCCAACCCAAATCACCATCGAAATTCAGGTAATTCATCACAAAAAGTATTCATATTTCCACATGTTTGAGTAAAGTATTTTTTTTGCGTAAAGTTGATGAATATTACAACAGTAGCAGACTGTATATGATATATGCCCTTGCCTACCAATTCCACAGTAAATGGAGTTTGATTTGAGTGAATACATACAAATTAGTATTCAAATTTGTGTTTTTAATATCAAATTGCTATAAAATCCGAATTAATGCCGGACACATGTGGAATCTACATATAATGTGACTAAACATAGATGGCATCTTGGGTCAGGAAGACACACTACATGCAAATTTATTATGAAATATAACTATAAAATTTCGTAATCCCAAAAAGTCAAATAATAGTTGAAACAATATTTATGTTGGAGAACTTAAAAAATGAAGAGTCTTTTAACTATATTTGAGATTTTAACTATATTTGAGAGTACCAAATTAATATAATTCTAACTTTAAGACTCTGATTTAATACTTTCAGACGCAATATAAGTGCACGAGGGAGTGAGGACAGGGGCCGAAATTGCCAAGAAACATGGGCCGGCTTAGTTCATGTGTGCCTACCCAATTTAATGCCAAGAGGCATTTCTAATGCACACTTATAAAATCAGAACCAAAATTTTCTTTCTAGTTTCAAACATGCGTGCATCTTGACTCAGCCAACTATATAACTTGACCTTTACGCTTCTCTCTCTCTCTCTCTCTATATATATATATGTGTGTGTGTGTGTGTGTGTGTGTGTGTGTGTGTGTGTGTGTGTGGCATTGCTATATAAGCAGATCACACCCCACCCATTGTGGACAACACAAGCTTAATTTACCTCATTTCCCTTAAGCCTCAGTACTCTCTTTGTTTCCTCTCTTATATCATTCTGCATGGCTCGCTTAAGCACACTTGGGCTCTTTGTTATTCTTGTTTTAATCTGTTATGTGCCATATTTAGAAGCAAGGAACCTCATGAGCATTGAGAGTAGGAGAATAGTACCTTCTCCGGAGGACACTTTGGTCCTGACTGCCCTTCCCAAGAGCACTGCTTTCCCATCTTCTTCCCCAAGTGGTAAAGGCCCCGCAATGGTCATCTATGAAAAGCTCCTCTCTCAACACTTTTCCCGCATTGATAGGATTTTGCAGTCCGTCCCAAGTCCCGGAATCGGCAACCCCAACTAGACATGGCTTTCATGGAAAACTTTATACGGATATATATCTATATCTATCTATATATATATATATATATATATATTTTAAATAGTACGAAAAATGCTACGAGGGTGTGATTATCTCACGACGAAATCGTGTCTTCATACTCATGAAAATTTATCTTTCTGATTTATATGTAAGCAATGTAAACTTTATACGGATATATATATATATATATATACACACACACTCACACACACACATAAACATTTTATATAGTACGAAAAATGCTACGATGGTGTGATTATCTCACGACGAAATCGTGTTTCATACTCATGAAAATTTATCTTTCTGATTTATATGTAAGCAATGTAAAGTTATACATATTGATTGAGTTTGTGTGGATTGAGTAATGGAAGTTATTATATACATATATATATAGTCTCAATGTATTGGTCAACAATGTTAACTAGTTTCATGTTATATGTATTGGAATTATTATTTGAGTTCCTGAAATGCTTGCCTGTAAAACATGATGGGACTGAAAATTAATCAGATAGCTAGTATTAGTAATTCAATTGATTAATAATAAATGAGACATATTTGAACATTTATTTTGTGACCATTCAAATTATTCGATGAAGTAAAAAAAGGTAACATTAGTTTAATCAATTTTTATTTATTTATTTATTATTATTATTTTTTAGGTTGACAATAATCAATTTTTATTAGTATGACACTATGACAGCTACATGCTATTGAGCTTCTCGTAATAACATGTCATGCACATGCTGAAGAATATACTTCAACCTTGTACGTTTAAAAGAACATGATGGAAAATTGACCATATGTACACCTGAGATCCATCCCCATCAAATGACAACACTAACAATCCAGTAGTCAAACAAGTCAAGTTCTTGCGCTCAAATTCTCTGTGGTTGTGATTTTTGGTGCTGCAATGGTGCGGTTGAGTTTTTCCACACCATTATTTCTATATTTTCAATGCATTTATATTTATTTATATTAATTATATATAATAGACTTAACATGTTAAAAATGATCGTGTTGAAATCAGATAATGGTTACTGAAAAGTGTACAACATCGAGGATGCTTAAGCATGGAAATCCAAATTGTGATTTTTGTCTGTATTTTGTAATATAAAACTTCCAAGCTAAAAAAGTGAAATTTTTCTGTAGGCACTCTTAGGAAAAAGTTTCAGTAATTGATCTAAGCTAAATGTTGTAAGAGGTTTGACATCAATATTTTTTAATATATATAAATAATAATAAATAAATAAAATTACTGTATATGATTATCTTAATTATTTATTTTAAGGATCCATTTGTTTCGATGTAAAATATTCTTTTTGAAATTTTTTTTTTCTAAGTAGAATACGAGGTTGAAATCGAGTCTATCGAGTGGGGCATATTACTTGCCGAAAATTTATGAATAAATTATTTTTGTTAAATTTTAATATTTTTTTTCATAAATATTTTACGACAACCAAACAACAGAAAATAAAAAAATATTTTTTAAAAAATATTTTAGTACAACCAAACAACAGAAAATAAGAAAATATCCAAATAAATGGAGCCTAAAAGATAATTGTAAAGATGGGAATTTTTTGAAGGAATTCAATCACCCATTTATATAGTATTATTTGAGAACAATTTGTACACTTACTATGATCCAATCACCCATTTAGGTTTTGAGAATCTAATCAGCCCTAAACCTCTTCCTCATGCATTTTAGATTGGTTATAATGTCCGTAATCCACTCAAGAAACAGTTCTTCACATGTTACACTTCTACAACGTGTTCTTGATCCAAAATTCCAATGTTTATTATGCTCAAATTTTTAAAGTTATAAGTGAATTTATTCAATGTCTAATATCACAATGTCATTAATATTCTCACATGATAGCAACCTTTACTCATATAAAATTAATCGGATTTATAGTCAAACTCCTTATCATTAATTAGGTCTAATGATATAAGAAAATAAAGTTTTTAGTAAAAGTAATAATGTAAAAAAATAATAATAAGGGCCTTTAGGCAGTATGCTACGAGCTAACCTGTCATTAGTTGACTGTTTGACTTGTAAAAGTCACTTAAAAAACAAATTCAAAACGTCAAAACTGTCCATCAAGATCGGCATAATTACAACTTGATTTTTGTAACTTGAGAATCTTATTAATCTTAGGGGTTTGATCAAAAGTTCAATGGTTGATCTTCAATTCCACCTCCTTCAATAGTTTCAATCTTCTTAGCCATTTCCATTGATGTGTAGGGCTTGTGAAACTTCTTCAAATGCTTGAATAATTCATTCTCATTATCGATCTTTATCTTCTTCGCACAAGCACACCAATCTTCTTTCTTCTTGAAATTTCGGTACTTCTTGAACTTCACATGTGCTACTACTTTGGAATTAAAAAATAACTCCATATTCACACAATCTGTGTCAATTACAAAATTCTTCAAACCATTTTTCAAAAAATAATTTGAAAAATTATTATCATTTTGAGCTTCAATCTCATAATTCGTTGGAACAACTTTCTCCAAGAAAAGATCATCATTCTCCACAACATGAACACAATTATCATAATATTTAATTTCTTTTTTTCAATTGGGATGAATATGAAGAAATCAAAATTTTATTAAATAAGTTATATCTAACTTTTTTGAAATTGGAATTTGGAACCATACCTGAAATTGTTAACTCACAAATTTCATCAACTTTTGCATCTTCTTTAGCACATTCTTCTTTTTTAATTTCTCTTTCAACTTCAATTTCCTCCATTTTTTCAATCTTTTCTTCAACACCTTTCTTTATCTCTTCTTTATTCACCATTTCACTTTGGCCTTCAACTTTTGAATCTTCAATTTCTTCAACTTCATTTGTGTTGTACGCCTCTTCATTCTGTACAAATTTGTTCTCTAAACTTTCATAATCAGCTTTCGTAAACTCATCATCCTCAAAGTACTGTACCCAATACTCCATGGGTAGTGATTCACTTCTATGATCGGAAATGATGGTCTCGAGCATATTCCAAACATAACTTGGAGTTTAGGACTCTCCAAAATACTCCCAAATTTCTTGATGTATTGCTTTTTGCAACACTACCAATGCTTTTCTTCTTTTTTATCTCGAAGCTTGTTGGACATGCCATTCTTTGGCTCTGATCCAACAACATTCCACAAATCACATGCTTTGAGGTATGAAGTCATGATGATTCTCATTCTCCTGTAATTAGAGAACATCATCTTCTCACTAAGAAAATACATTTTCTCCCCTTCATCATCATCAAGGAGAAACATGTTTTTCTCAAATGTTGAACCTTCTAGGATCAACTTCGTCAAGCCTTCAGGATTGTCTAGGCTCTGAACATGAAATTTGGCTCTGATAATGACCTGGGTCTGATACCACTTTGTTAGCTTTTTCTCTGATACCACTTTCTGACTTTACTCTGATACCACTTTGTTGAAAATAGTGGGCTATACAAACAAATGCAATTATATATAATTTGAAAGTGAAATGGAGAAAGAAATATATTATTTCACTTATACCTTAATAAAATTGCTAGAGTACATGATTATATGAGCCTTGAAAATACATATCTATGAATTACATATAAATGCCCATAGCTTTCATTTTTCCCACTAACACAATCTTCAATAGACATAACTCCCACTAACATAGTATTTATTAGGTTCAAACTCTCATGACTCTTGATTTTACATAACCTTAACTCCTACTAAGACAATTTTTTACCCACTAACATATATGATAAATTCACACATGAATCATGGATATAAAAATACTTGAAAATACTAAATACTAAAATCAAGTTTATTATTCAACACTGTTTTTATCCTGTTGCCTTTTTAATGGTTCAGAGTTATTTGACCATAGTCTTTGTATGATAATCCATCAGAACCATGCTTTAAATTTTGACTACTTCGAATCTTTTTTCCTTTTTTAGTTGCAATAAGCTATAGCCTCATTCTCTTGGCTGAAACCAGAAATAGTTAGCAGCTACAAATGGTGAAAACTATATTTGAATATGTTTTTCATGGGGGCATGGTGGGACCAAATAAAAATCAAATTCAATGATCAAAAACCAGTTACCATTCAATTCAATTAAGCAGAAAAAAATTGGTTTAACTTGTGAGTCTAGGTTTAGCTCCAGTAACCATTTTAGTAGAGCTAGATTGTATGACGGAGGTAGCTAGAGCTAGTACTAATATATTCATGTCAGATTTTTGGGCCTAATTTTCTGAATTTATATTTTTAATATAGGTAAAAATAAAAATAGTATAACATGTATGGTATAAAATCTATTCTTGACCCCCTTCAAGAAAAAAATATTCCTTCTTTAATTAGCATTTTACAAAGGGTGAATTACATTAAACCCCTTTCTATCTGTGTTTTTCACTAAACTCCCTTTTTCTATTTTTTTGTCAAAAAAACCCCCTCAACTATTAGAGTGGGGTGATTTAACTAACTTCCGTTAATTAAATATTAGAGGAGGGTGATTTAATTCTCTAATATATATATATATATATCAAATAATTTTTTAAGAAAAAAAACCTAGATTTATATTGAAAAATAAAATAGCCATTATTTCTGGTAGTGTCCCTTTAATAAATCTATATAAAATGAAAATCAATAAAAACCAAATAAATAAATGCACAATATAATTCTCAAATATATATAGCAAATGAATTTCAAGAAAAAAAAAACCTACATTTTTTTCCATAAAAAAAAAAAAAAGAAACCTAGATTTATATTGGTATGAAGGTTAGATGGAAATGAAAATATATTTAAATAATAATTAATGATACGTATTATATATACCATTATATTATGATACAAATTTTATATAATATTATAATGATGGGTAAATAAAAGAAGTTGAACAAGAAGAAGAGTACACATTATTGCAATGATTTTTTTCCCAATATAAATCTAGGTTTTTTTTCTTGAAATTTATTTGCTATATATATATATATATATTTGAGAATTATATTGTGCATTCATTTATTTGGTTTTTATTAATTTTCATTTTATATAGATTTATTAAAGGGACACTACCAGAAATAATGTCTATTTTTTTTTTTCCAATTTAAATCTAGGTTTGTTTTCTTGAAATTTATTTGCTATAAATAAATAAATATATATATATATATATATATATATATATTTGAGAATTAAATCAACCCCCCTCTAATAGTTAGTTAACAGAAATTAGTTAAATCACCCCCCTCTAATAGTTGAGGGGAGTTTTTTGACAAAAAAAATAGTTGAGGGGAGTTTTTTGACCAAAAAAATTAGAAAAGGGGGGTTTAGTGAAAAACACAGATAGAAAATGGGAGTTTAATGTAGTTCACCCTTTTACAAAAGATAGTTTATATATAATCTAAAGAAAAAATAATTTAATTAACAATTGCAGAACCTGGTTAAAAATTTACTCACATAAAAATTTAATGTTTTTTTTTTAAATTTCGGCTCAAACACAGTTCTTTCCATAACGTGAGTATCTTAAAATTCTTCCAACTCAAGCATGATTATTTCCATAACCTTATTATCCAAATATTATATATTTTTATTTTTATTTTTATTGGAATGTTCTTATAAGAATTCTATAAGAAATTAATTTTTATAAAATCTAGAACAAAAATTTCATTTGAAGTTTTGAATATCAACAAAAATCGATGATTGAAGAATCTAAATTCTTATTTTATTAATTTGTTTGTGTTTTTTTTATCATAATTATTGTTTTGTTAAATTTTCAATTGTTACTTTTTTTATAATTTATTTTTGTTTTTTTCTTATAGGTAAGTAAAGAGAGTTAATATTTTTGTTAATTTATTTTTGGAGAGTTTTTGTTTTGAAAGGCACTTTATATTTTGGTTTTAAATTACCTATTTTTACACTGTCACATGAAGTCGGTGAAGTATAGTTTTGTATTTATCGGATGAAATAGCACTACTCTAATCTAAATTAGTTATATACTATGTGTAAGCCATTAACATTTTATGATTTTTTAAAATAATCTAAATTATTTTTTTATTATCCCTTTTTTTGTTTTTTTTAATGATTTTCGTCCACACTTTCCACTTTTTGTTTTGTCTTATTCCTTACTTAAATTTGTTTGTCCTTTTTCTACAGAAAGTGTAGAGAGACAAGTTTCACACACAAAAAAAGAAGATTATATCCTTACAATCCCTTATTTCAATGTAATTTTAGAAAAGAAAAAAAAAAAAAAAAAAAAAATCCCTTATTGAGTTATTTCATTGCACACATGCATGATTTGATCTAAGGAATCACTTCTTTCTCATCGATCTAAATAATTTTTATGCATATTGCAATCCAGATTAATTTCAAAGTTTTTTTTTTTTTTTTTTTGTTCCTCTAGGTAGTATTGCTTATAATTTTGACCCGTTGACCTCAAGATCCTGGCTTCACCCTGGGCCCATGTAATCCCACTATAATCATTAAGTGCTCCACTTCAATAATTTCAATGGATACATTTTATTCTAGGACAAATCAAGTAATTCAACAAAGAGTTGTATGAATGCAATTGATGATATAGATACGTGTCTTGATTGATCTTACTTGACATCACCCTAAGAAAAGGTTTTGCCTATGATAGGCAATAGAAAGAAAAAATCTTTTCGGGTCAATCCATCTCCTCAATCTGGGCTCGAAGCTTTCAAACTTTGAGGAAAACCTTCATGCATCAAAATCCAAGTCACAACGAGGTAAAATCCAATCAAAACTACTTCTAAGTTAATTCTAAACCTTAGAACTTAGAAGTAAAATATGTATGAGGCCAATATGCAATTAACTAGTTAAGGGTGTAGTTCTCTGATCGATGCCATATTGATGGGTCCTTTTCATAACCTTTGTTTTTTAGCCATATCAGTGCAGTCGCTATAAACTACAACCCAAATCACCATCGAAATTCAGGTAATTCATCACTAAAAGTATTCATATTTCCACATGTTTGAGTAAAGTATTTTTTTGCGTAAAGTTGATGAATATTACAACAGTAGCAGACTGTATATGATATATGCCAGTGCCTACCAATTCCACAGTAAACGGAGTTTGATTTGAGTGAATACATACAAATTAGTATTCAAATTTGTGTTTTTAATATCAAATTGCTATAAAATCCGAATTAATTAATGCCGGGCACATGTGGAATCTGCATATAATGTGACTAAACATAGATGGCATCTTGGGTCAGGAAGACACACTACATGCAATTTTATTATGAAATCTAACTATAAAATTTTGTAATCCCAAAAAGTCAAATAATAGTTAAAACAATATTTATGTTGGAGAGCTTAAAAATGAAGTCTTTTAATTATATTTGAGAGTACCAAATTAATATAATTTTAACTTTAAGACTCCGATTTAATACTTTCAGACGCAATATAAGTGCACGAGGGAGTAAGAACAGAGGCCGAAATTGCCAAGAAACATGGGCCGGCTTAGTTCATGTGTGCCGGCGCCTACCCAATTTAATACCACGAGGCATTTCTAATGCACACTTTTAAATCAGAACCAAAATTTTCTTTCTAGTTTCAAACATGCATGCATCTTGACTCAGCCAACTATATAATTAACTTGACCTTTACGCCTCTCTCTCTCTCTCTGTCTCTATATATATATATGTGGCATTGCTATATAAGCATATCACACCCCACCCATTGTAGACAACACGAGCTTAATTTACCTCATTTCCCTTAAGCCTCAATACTCTCTTTGTTTCGTCTCTTATTTCATTCTGCATGGCTCGCTTAAGCACACTTGGGCTCTTTTGCATTATTCTTGTTTTAATCTGTTATGTGCCATCTTTAGAAGCAAGGAAGCTCATGAACATTGAGAGGAGGAGGATAGTACCTTCTCCGGAGGACAATTTGGTCCTAACTGCCCTTCCCAAGGGCACTGCTGTCCCATCTTCTTCCCCAAGTGGTAAAGGCCCCGCAATGGTCATCTATGAAAAGCTACTCTCTCAACACTTTTCCCGCATTGATAGGATTTTGGAGTCCAACCCAAGTCCCGGAATCGGTAACCGCAACTAGACATGGCTTTCATGGAAAACTTTATACGGATATATATCTATATCTATATCTATATCTATATATATACACATAAATATTTTATATAGTACGCAAAATGCTACGAGGGTGTGATTATCTCACGACGAAATCGTGTCTTCATACTCATGAAAAATTTATCTTTCTGATTTATATGTAAGCAATGTAAACTTTATACGAATATATATCTATATATATATATACACACACACACACGAAAAATGCTACGAGGGTGTGATTATCTCACGACGAAATCGTGTCTTCATACTCATGAAAATTTATCTTTCTGATTTATGTAAGCAATGTAAAGTCATACATATTGATTGAGTTTGTATGGATTGAGTAATGGAAGTTATTAAATATATATATATCTATAGTCAATGTATTGGTCAACAATGTTTACTAGTTTCATGTTATATGTATTGGAATTATTATTTGAGTTCCTCAAATGCTTGCATGTAAAACATGATGGGACTGAAAATTAATCAGATAGCTAGTATTAGTAATTCAATTGATTAATAATAAATGAGACATATTTGAACATTTATTTTGTGACCATTCAAATTATTTGATAAAGTAAAAAAAAAAGGTAACATTAGTTTAATCAATTTTTTTTATTTTTTTTATTTTTTTTGGTTGACAATAATAAATTTTTATTAGTATGACACTATGACAGATACATGCTATTGAACTTCTCATAATAACGTGTCATGCACGTGCTGAAGAATGTACTTCAACCTTGTACGTTTAAAAGAACATGATGGAAAATTGACCATATGTACACCTGAGATCTATTCCCATCAAATGACAACACTAACCATCCAGTAGTCAAACAAGTCAAGTTCTTGCACTCAAATTCTCTGTGGTTGTGATTTTTGGTGCTGCAATGGTGAGGTTGAGTTTTTCCACACCATTATTTCTATATTTTCAATGCATTTATATTTATTTATATTAATTATATATAACAGACTTAACATGTTAAAAATGATCGTGTTGAAATCAGATAATGGTTACTGAAAAGTGTACAACATCGAAGATGCTTAAGCATGGAAATCCAAATTGTGATTTTTGTCTGTATTTTGTAATATAAAACTTCATTTTGAATTATTTATTTTAAGGCTCCATTTGTTTCGACGTAAAATATTCATTTTGAATTTTTTTTTTTTCAGGTAAAATATTCATTCTTTTATTTTTACTTTGTTGGTGTTTAATAAAGGTTTAGGTCGAAATTGAAGTCGAGTCTATCGGGTGGAACATATAAAATAACTTGCCGAAAATTTATAGATAAATTATTTTTGTTAAATTTTAATTTTTTTTTCATAAATATTTTACGATAACCAAACACCAGAAAATAAAAAATATTTTTAAAAAAGTATTTTACGTTCAAACAAACGGAGCCTAAAAGATAATTGTAAAGATGAGAATTTCTCGAAGGAACTCAATCACCCATTTATACAGTATTATTTTAGAACAATTTGTAAACTTACTATGATCCAATCACCCATTTAGGTTTTGAGAATCTAATCAGCCCTAAACCTATAATGTCTGTAATCCACCGAAGAAACAGTACTTCACATGTTACACTTCTACAACGTAGTGTTCTTGATCCAAAATTTCAATGTTTATTATGTTCAAATTTTTAAAGTTATACGTGAATTTATCAGTGTTTAATACTAATATTATCAGGATGTCATTAATATCCTTACATCATAATAGCAACATTTACTCATATAAAATTAGCTGAATTTATAGTCAAACTCCTTATCTTAATTAGGTCAAATAATATAAGAAAATAGAGGTTTTAGTAAAAGTAATAATATAAAAAAATAAATAATAAGGGCCTTTAGGCGGTATACTACGAATTAACCTGTCATTAGTTGACTGTTTGACTTGTAAAAGTCAATTAAAAAACAAATTCCAAACGTCAAAACCATCCATCAAGATCAGCATAATTACAAAAATAACCTTACCATACAAATAAAATCACCGCCATGGTAATTACTAGGCGGACCAAACTGCCACTACCTCCAACACCATGAGTTGACTTGATATATTTTATCCTTTTAGAAACTAAACCACTTATATAGTTATATGTACTTATATTATTTTTTGGGGAATGTTAAGGACCATAGTTAAGGCAACTGTCTATTCATAATCACTGCTTTTATTGGTAAGTTGAATTGTAATTAATGTCTTCTTTTATTCAATATTTTCTATTTTTTATAAGATATTAAAATATATATTTTTATGGACAAAATTACCCTTATCCATTTCATTTGCCTTTTTTCCCACTCCTCCCTTTATTCACATATTGGTGTTTATATATATATATATATAGCTAACAATATGTGAGTGTATTCTTTCTTCTCTTTTATTTTTAATTGTCGTTTAACCTTTATATATATATATAGCGTTACTTTTCTTTTCTTTTTTTCATTTTTTTTCCTTGTTAGATCTGTACGGGTTACTTTCATTTCCTTTTTTTTTTTTTTTCCTTGTTAGATCCGTATGCCAATTTATATATATATATATATGTAAACTTCATCGAGTGAGAATTGAGGAGACGGATGAAAGACTTAAAAGGATTGTTTTGTCCACAAAAATATAGTTTTAATATTCCATAAAAAGTGAAAAACTTGTAATTAATGCCAGCATTAATTACAATTCTACTCACCAATAAGAACAATGACTGTGGCATTTCTCTTATTTTTTAAGTTTGGTCTTGAAATCCTAAGGGTTCGTTTGGATGGCAATAACGTTATATGTTATGGTTTGGTATGATATGAAAACAACCGTTTTGGTATTGGTATGTTTTTAGTAGAAATCGGATCCATGTTTGGTAACGATTGTTTTGTTTTTGATAATTGTATATCAGAAACATGATAACGCGTTTGGTATTGTCATGCGTTTTAAGGAATCAGAAAACAAAACACGTTTGGGACTAGTGTTTTGTTATCAAAAATTCTGAATCAATAACAGAATACCTGTTTGGTAAAGACTGTTTTGTTTTTGTTTTGAAAAATTATATATATGAATACAATTATAAGTTTATATGTAAAATAGTCCATTTTTCTTTATGATTTGAGTTAATTTGTGAAAAAAAAAAAATTCTGCATTAGAGTTGGAAAAAAAATTATGAATAAATTTACATGTATAATGGAAACCAAACTACTTTGTAATAATGAATAAATCTGCATAAACATGATTAATGGCAACCAAATTACAAATCTAACTTTGTAATAATCTTTCAATGAGAGCAAATCTTTGCACTCCATTTATTTTTTTCTTTTGGCTTGCATTCCATTTAACTTTGTTTTGTTTCACACACACACACACACACACACACACACACACACACACACTATATATATATTCATGATGAATGTGTGAGAGAGAGAGATCCTTGTAGTTGAAACAAATAAGAAACAAAGCCAAAACGTTAATCGTCTTGAATTGGTCAGAGTTAAAATTTGGTGAACATTAAAGCTTGTGAATAGTTTTACTTCACTTAGATTAGTTTGAAATTTTGTAATGGAGGTTCTTCAAATTGGTAATATTTTTTTTGTTTAGTCATAGGACCATTTCCCCTTTTCTTGAGTATTTATTTTGATAACGGACTTGTGAATATTTCATACAATATCCAACCATAAGCAGAATTGATAAATATGAATAAAGATTAAAAGCAAGCAATCAAGGAAGATCCCTCTTACAAGACTGAACAACATTCACATATAAACTTCCACGTATAGTTTTGCTTTGTACATCACAATCTTAAGAACTTGAGTGTTGCACCATTCACATATATACTTCCACATATAAGGAGCTAGACATTCCTTAAAAATAGTATGTGTGTACACACACACTTCATTACACTTAGATAAAATGTACACACAACTGGAGATCACTAATATTCATTCCATAAAATGTACACCCACCTTTTTATACTTGCATAGGCCTCCATTTGATTAACTTAGAGATCACTAGCTTTCTGGAGTTGCAGCAATTAGAGAATGCTTCCTATCAATCCCACTGGTGCCACTGCCTACAATTTACTGCCATGTCCTTCAATGTAGTAGCAAAAAATGAATTTGAATGTAAAATATAGTAGCAAAATATAAAGCAGAGTTAAATTCAATTTTTTTTATTTTTTTTTTAAAAAAATCCGGCATGACTTCCCCTTAAAAATGGACATTTCCAAAATTTCAAAACACAATAAGGGACAAAATTAATTTAATAAGGGACACCGCCTACAAAATTCAATTAACAAGGGACACCGTCCACAAATTTAATTAACAAGGGACACCGACCATAACCAACAAAAACTGACACTTTTTTATTTTGTTACCTAGTAAGGGGCAGTTTACCATTAAAACTGCTTGGGAAAATATTAGACCTAAGAAAAATGTTGTTGCTTGGAATGAGACTGTCTGGTTTAAAGGAGCTATTCACAAGCATTCTTTTATATGTTCGCTTGCCTGTTTAAATAAATTGCTAACTCAGAACAGATTACTGAGATGGGGGGTGATTTCCAGAATTAGTTGTGTTTTCTGCAGGCAAAACATTGAGGACATAGATCACTTGCTCTTCCAATGCTGCAAAACATTGAGGACAGAGATCACTTGCTCTTCCAATGCTGCTTTACTAAGAGACTATGGAATTATGTTGTTGCTACTTGCTAGAAGCTTACTGCCTGGCCTAATGGTAATTGGTGTACTCTTTTGAACTGGGCTGTTTTGACTCTTGGAGGAAAGTCTTTGGTAACAGTTTTGAATAAAATGGTTCTTGCTGCTTCAATCTATGTTCTTTGGAGGGAAAGGAATTCCAGAATTTTTGCAATGAGTATAAAAGGAATTGATATAGACTGTTAGACTGAAGCTATTCTTTTTTGCCAGACTTGAAAATAATCATTCTAACAGAAGGATTGTGCAGGATTTGGATTTGCCTGAATCTGTTTTGAAGATCTAATGCTTTTGCTTATGTTGTGCCATCTCTTACTCTGCAGCAGGCCTGTTAGCTCTGATCAGGTCTGTTGTGTTTTTTTTTTAGGTGTATTCTTCATAATATCAGGGCTGTCGTTTGGATTTCTTGGTGCTGTAGCTGGAAGTTGTTCTGTTATCAAGATTAGTACTCCAATTCTTGTATTCTCAAGTCTTGTTCTGTTTTTTACATTTAGGGTATGTTTTTGTTGGTTATGGTCTTGTGGAAAGATAATAGTGAAACTCCATTTTCTGTTGATATTTGAATTCCCTAGTTTAAATTTTATTCGAAGATTTACTTGTATTTATTCTTCTTTTTCAAGTCGTCTAAATTATACTGGTTTGAATGTTTACAGAACTGTGAATCATACATTAAAATATTGGTGGGGCCTAGCCAATATAATGCACAAATTTAAAAAAATATATATATATTGGCCATAGATTTCATCATCCTAAGTTTGAGAATTTAAAAGTTGATGAATGTTTAAATTTTATCCTTTTGTCGAATCTTTTGTCCTCCCACTTGTCCTTAAATAATATAATACAACAAATTGATCATTCAAACAATTTAATAATTTACAAATATCAATCTTAATTTTGCTTTTTAATGCAGGATCAAGCTTAATATGATCTAAGAGCCTGTTAGGTTGATTTATACATAATACAGATCCTTTGCAAAATTGTAATTTGGACTAAGAACAGATCTTGAAAATATCGCTAAAATCGATAGCTGTAATTAACTCAGTCAACATTCTAATTGCTTCCACATTGCAACACACACAATCGATGGATGACACATAAACCCTTATATCAGAACCATGGTTGATAGAAGAAACAACCCAGAAACAGGGCTAAAACCAAACCCTAGATCTCCGTCACAGCCTCATGAAACTTGAGATCTGGACACAAATGCCCTAAATTACAACACTCATAACATGATTGGAATATAGATCAGAACTTGGAAATGCAATATAGATCCTGATTGTCACAATATTAGAGAGAAAAAGTGAACACGAGGACCTCCCAAATGTAAATCTCAAAAGCGAAGATATATGTGATCTATAGATACAAACAGAGACACAAAATGAGGTACCTGGTGGAGGAGCTCTGCCAGATCAGTGGTGGAAGAGGTTGGATCGCCACTGAAGTCGCCTTCCAGGGAGCTACACGAAGAGAGAGAAACGACGCTGAAAAATGCCCTAAAATCTGATATGCGACCTTATATACGTGATATCACCGCTACAGTAAAAACGAGGGTTGGTTTGGTTTTGGTTTGAGATCAATTCACCGCTACAGTGCCATATCAGTCTAATATCACCAAAATGTTGATATGGGTTTTGGCCCAAAAATGATAATGTTTTGGCACTGTTAAATACCATATCAGCCCGCTCCAAACATGATATTGGCCCAAAGCCAAAATCAAAACACCAAAACAATATCAGATATGGGCCTCCGAACAGGCCCTAAGTTAACAATAATTTCTAATATACAAGTTAGGAATTTTATGTAGAGAGGTGAACCCTGAATAATATTTTTTAAATTAAACCCATATAATAAAAATATAACAAAGATGTTCACGAGTACAAGAACTTCCTTATTGAATTCTGGACCAACTCACCTAGGTTTATTTTTTTCCTCAACTCAGTTGAAGAATTCCTATTGGGTGGTATACAGGTAGAATTATAATTTATAGTGTGTACGTCACGAGAAATTATTAGATGATCTTCATCTATTTGATACTTGGTGGACTAATTTAATGAGAACCCTTCGATTATGAAACTTTATAATTTATTAATACACTATTGTAGGGCCAATTTCTTAATCCTAGAGTCTAAATTTAACTCACTAAGTGTTAATGGTTTAGAACCATCTAATAATTTGTCGTATAACATGACAGTCATCCCTAACTACCAACTCCAACCTAACCTGTCATCTTATTTTTAAATTTGGATTACAATTTTAGTTGAGATTTCAAGTTTAAAAGTCGGATTACTCATATTACCATTTGGATACTAAAAATTTAATATCATTAATTTAAATTACCCCAAATACAAAAAGTTGTAAATTTTTTTAATAAATTTTTAACCAATTATAAACAAATTCTTAGTGAATTAAATTTCCAAAGTAGTAACCTACTAAATAAAGAAGGTTGGAAAGATAAAGGTAATTATAATTTTAATATTGTATAATGTATTTAAATAAATATATAAATAAATAATATTAGAATAGGAATTGGGGTTGGCAACTTGGGCTAGGATTGTTAGGTCTGAACCTTAATTAATGTGTGAAAAAAGTGATTATAATTTTAATATTATATAATGTATTTAAATAAATATATAATCCGCCCAAGTTTGTAAAATAACCTAGAACCCATTCAAGTTTCAACATAAACCCTTCTGCGGCGGAAAAGAGGACGAGTGCAAGATAATGGGGAGAGAGAAAAAGCAAAGAAACCCACCAAATCTTCCACGCAACATCATGTATAGTATATTTTAACCAAAAAAAAATCATGTATAGTATACTGTCCAGTCTACCCGTAAAGTCTGTGTTGCGATTTAGTCGAGTATTTATATCTTTGTGGGGGTCTTGTAATCTCTGAACCCCAATTCATCAAAACCCATTTAAACCAATCCATTAAATTGGACCGCCAAAGACTCCTTTTCATGAAATTTCAAGGTTTCCACTCCATAGGCTATGAATTTCCGGATAATTCAAATGAAAAACTCTACTTACCACTCTTGTTCCACAATAGTTACAAAATCCATTGTTCTTTGTAATGGTTTTTTTTTTTTTTTTTTTTTTTTCTAGTTGGTATTCACACACACGTCTCCACTTAGACTCTAACTCTGACCTCTCTTTTTGAGAAGTAGGAACTTGATATTATTAGGCCACTGACCTGTTGGTATTCTTGTAATGGTTTAGTACTATTGGATTTGGATCATTGCAAGTTGGTTTTGTGGAATCCATCCACCGGAGCATATAAAGAGTTGCCATGTTCATTTCATAATGCATACTATTACTTTGGACTATGTTATGATTCTTCCATTGATGATTACAAGGTGGTTCTTATCAGTATGATTGGTGATAAGAACCACCCTTTCAAATTTATTTATTTGGTTTTCTCTCTCAAGGGCAATTCTTGGACAGAGCCTAGAAAATTTAGGCATTTTGTTTACGGTGGTGAAATTGGGATTAATGTGAATGGAATGTTTCACTTGAAGGTCAAACCCTCTTTTGAGTACCATGGCGGAAGAGAATTTAGGATTGTTTTCTTTGATCCGGTGAATGAAAACTTCAAGATGGTGCCAGTACCACCAGCGTGTAGATCTAAAGGGGATAGATTTCGTTTGATAGATGTGAAAGGATGCCTTGGTTTATATTGCAATACTTATAATGGCGATGACGGACATCAGGTTGTGGTGTGGGTAATGAATAATCATCATCCCTAGTGTTCCAAGAGGAGCAACACATCTAAATTCTTGGTCAGCGGAGTTGTTGTGTGTCGCGGAGAAAGGTGAAATTGTGATGGTGATTAATGGAGAAGTGTTAGCCGTCTATAATACTAAAGAAGTATAGGGAACTTCCGACAATATTTTGGACAATGTTGCATTCTACACAAGTTGTTTCATTCGTGGATAGTTTAGTTTCGCCAACAATTGATTAAGAGGCAACATCATACATCTGAAGGGTAAGGAAAGAGAGAAGCTTCACATAAGGAGGTAATTCAGACAATCTCTCCATATTATTCTGTTTTCCGATACAATTCCTATCATTATATTATCCTTGATTGTAGGTTTTCTTGTTTTTTACAGGTAATATTTTTTCCGTGATATTTATTAATTAGTTTTGGCCAATTGAAGATACATATTGTTCCATTTCTCTTTCTGATCAAGATTTACTTATACTTTTGTAACTAAATGCATTTTGAGAGAGTTCCATCATGTTGATCAGATCAGTGAAAAAGTTTAGATAGCAGCTATTTCTTTTTTAAATGAATTTTTTTCTTCGGTAAATAAAATGAAATTCATCTATAAGCTTAGGAGCATTTAATATCCCCACAACAAAAATCTCTATAAATAAGATAATTTTACTCTTTAAAAATCTGAGCTTTTTCAACATGAAAAATTTACCTCTGTCTAAAATTTTCCCTATATATAATTTTTTTTTTTTAAATATTTATATTTATATTTGAGGGAATAATAGACATTGCACATAACATATGCCTGGCACTGATTTTATCTAATCTCTTTCCCTTGAGTCCCTTCCCCTCTATTTTCTCTACAACTTGAATGTGGTTAATAGCTGCTACTTCTTTTTTCCTTATGTGGTCTAATTTTAAAGTTCACTAACTTTTTGTGTATATGTGTGTAAATCTTAAATTATAGTTTGTTAAACTTTGTGGCTTAAAATTGACAACTCAGCAAGTCTTGCATCACCCATGACTTCATCTTCTTGGCCTCCAAGTATGTGTGATGAGCAAGTTTTTTGGTGTGCACAGCAAACTCATTTGACAAAGCTTCAAAAGAAATTTTTTTTTGAATATACTTGCTCACCAAGTATTTTTGGGCTATATATACCCTTGCATACATTTGATCCAAGGCATCCAAATCATCAATTGTGTGAGTTTGTAATATCAGTTATAGAGTGAGAGGTTTTGGGTGTAATTGGGTCTTGGGTGTGAGTCACTTTTGTCTTGTATCTCTTTATTTCTATAGTGAAATATTATTTTGTCTTCTTCCCGTGGACATAGGTATAGCCGAACCACGTATATCTTTGTCTTGTTTGTGTGTGTGCCAATTTATTTTTCTTGTCATTTATTTTTCTCTTATTCTCATAAACTCCTATTCGATCCTTTTTTCATAACAAACTGGTATCAGAGCTCGGGTTCGTGTATATTGTGTATAGATACTATTCACATATACTATTCGGGTACTGTTCACAAATACGGTACTATTCACCGAGAATTATTTTGGGGAGATTTTGAGATGTCGACCAAATACGAGATTGAGAAATTTGATGGCAAAATTTGTAATACCCCTAATTTTAAAAAGGATATTCCTGGTATTTAATGGTATTTAATTTATTATTTAATTGCATTTTATTTGATTATGTGTCATTATTTTTTTTATTAGGTGTTTAATTGTTTTCTTTTGTGGTGATTTAATTTATTTCTTTTGTGGTGATTTAATTTATTTAAATGATATTTATTTTTAGTTATTTGAATGGAATTACTTGTTAGTATTTTAATTATTTAAGTGGCATTAATGGTTTAAGTGTAATTGGTTTAGTTATTTGATTGGAATTACTTGTTAGTGTTTTAATTATTTAATTGGCATTAATGGTTTAAGTGTAATTGGTTTAATTATTCTATGTGTGTTTTATTTTATGTGTATCTTATTTGGGTTTAATTGGGTTTACTAATTATTATTTTGTTCAATTAGATTATTTATTAAGTATTTAATGGTGAATAGGGTAATTAGGTAAATACATCTAACTAGGGTTTTAATTACAGTATAAATTAGGATTTTATATTATAGCCGTCGTAGGTTTCTATGTTAATTGGATGGGTCGATTAGGATTGTGAGTTGGACTTAAATGAACCTAGGGTTTAGGAAAACTCTATAAGTATAAGGTAGACGTCTGTGTAGGGTTTTTTTAAACAAAGCACACGTTTTGTGGAAGTGGAGAAGGAAAAACGCAGTTTTTTTTATTCTGCCCAGATTTCATCAAACATCCGATCCCACTTCATCCGTGGTCCGATCGAGCTGAATTTTGGAGGAGAGGTTCACGACTCAGTGACGCACAATCTGAACGGTGGAGATCAGAGTTTGACCTCGGGAACAGTGATTCGTACTCGTGAACAGTAACTGGGTCGCACAGGTTTTTTTCATTCTGCCCAGATTCATCAAACATCCGATCCTGCTTCATCCGTCGTCCGATCGAGCTGAATTTTGGAGGAGAGATTCATGACTCAGTGACGCACAATCTGAACGGTGGAGATCAGAGTTTACCTCGGGAATAGTGATTCGTACTCGTGAACAGTAACTGGGTCGCACAAGTTTTTTTTCCATTCTGCCCAGATTTCATCAAACATCCGATGCCGCTTCGTCCGTGGTCCGATCGAGTTGAAATTTGGAGCATAGGTTCATGACTTAGTGTCGCACAATCTGAACGGTGAAGATCAGATTTTGAGTTCGGGAATAGTGTTTCGTACCCGTGAATAGTAACCGGGTTTTGGAACTCGCCAGGATTTTTTAAGAAAACGACGTTGAAACTTTGAACAAAAGTTTCTGAGGCAAGATTCTATCCTTACTCTTTCCCTTAGGCTTCATACTCTTTGCACTCTTAAATGATTTCAGGATTAATGAAGATTAAACCAAACTAAAATGATATCTGTTTTGCTATGAAACTGGTAGTTATAGTAGTGTTGTATGCTTGTTCAACCTAGACTAAGCATGTTTGTGGATGCATTGTGGTTCTGTGGTTCACGTTTTTCCTTACCACTGCTAGTATAAATTATTAGAAAGATGGGTCTAGATGATAGCTATCTTAACTTCTGTAATAGCAACTGTTGGAACTTAAATACTAAGAGGATTTGAGTTTAATACTAGATCGGTTTTGTGGAACACTATAATTTGAGCATGTCTACATACATACTATGAATATTGTTTTGATGCTTACATTATCACAGTTAGTATCAACTGTGGAGGTTAGGATTTTGTGATACATACCCTACATATCTGTATGTCATTTGTAAGGTGTTAAATGGAAGTTTTAATTAATTCTGTCTTTATATCAGACTAAAGGGAACAACTTAAATTGGGCATGTATATGTTGTTGTTGTGACCCTGTTTATCAATGCTTATTTTATCACTGCTAACATTGAATGTTGGATGTTGGAATTTAGTTGATATATACTTAATTTATTGGTATTATTGACTACTGGAGGATTGGAAAATAGGCACCGGTATGGGACGGTGGCATACTAAGGATGGGTTTGGTTTTTAAAACAATACCATTACCCACCTACTTGGAATAAGGATGGGATTAACTAAAGGTTAAGTCCTGTGGATTTGTATTGTCATGGCAACTACTTGTTGAGCGGCAATACCAGGGATTTTGGATGGATTTTATATATGTACTGTTATGGTGCCTCGGTATGAGCTTGAGCCTCAGGACCGATGGCTAGGGAGCGTATATACATCGGGATGTGTAGCTGGCTACGATGGTTGGAGGTGTACCCTGTTTAGGTATAGGTACATATGCCCACTTCGTGTGCGTTTTTGCATGTTACCTCTATTCAGGTTGAGACCGGCCTGTAGTCCAGTGAGAGTCCTTTAGTGTGACTATATATATATATATTTACGGACTATTAGCTATTGTTGAATTGTTTAGGATGTACATGTGTATCGGGCCTCTGTTTGGATTGTAGTAGTATAGAACTTGCGCGTGGGCCTGACCCACTTCTATTTTTCAGGTACACGACAGTTCCAGGCTTAGACGTGTTCGTACTGAGCAGAGGTCTCTATTCACTCTTCCGACGATGTAGGGCTCTCTCTATAGTTTTATTTCTGGACGTTTATTACAGTTGTTCTATCTTCCGTTTGGATGTTTAATAGGGGTCCACTAGAGATGGATTCCCAAGTTGTAAACTGATGGAGTTTTGGAGTTTGGGTTTGATGGATTTTAATAATTATAATATTTTGCGGATTCTATTTTTAGTTCCTTCCAGCTTTAATTTCATTTCTTAATTTATTTTGTATTCTGTGTTCATTATAAAATATTAATTGTTTGATATTCCCTCGGGTTTGGGCTTGGGCCTGATCAACCCGTGTCTCGGATCCGAGGGGTATCTCAGTTGGTATCAGAGCACTCCAGGTTCAAGTGTCTCTAGGATGTTTTCGTATTAAGTCTTCCGCGTAGCGTTTTCTCTTGAATAGAGCTTAAGTTAGGATTCATTGTATTCCTTATGGTTCGTATAGAAAGGGTACTGACGTCTGTCTTTTCGTGTTAACAGATAGTTAACGCTAGAAATGGACAGAACATGCAAGGAACTAGGAAGGAAAGGAGAACGGCACGTAGGCAACAATATCTCCTACAGCGTCAGCAAAAGGAGGAAGAGCAGCAAAGGCTTGGGTTTCAAGATGACATGGATCAGTTTTAGGAGGAACAGGAGAATGTTCAACAGACTCTGGACCAGGTCAGAGATCCAGAGATTCCTCCTCACCTCAATGACCTCGTTGCTCGGGCTATAGAGACTGGGGTAACAGCTGCACTTCTGAATCAGCCTCAGGTATAGCCGGCATGAGATACCCCTCGGATCTGAGACACGGGTTGATCAGGCCCAGGCCCAACCCCGAGGGAATATCAAACAATTAATATTTTATAATGAACACGGAATACAAAATAAATTAAGAAATGAAATTAAAGCTGGAAGGAACTAAAAATA